CATCAGGCATCCGTTGGGGGGTTGCAGCTGGGGGAGGACGGGGATGTCAACCCCCTAGTCCAGCAGGCGGGTGACGGTTGGAGGGTGGGCAGGCACTGGAGCAGAGCGGTCCGCGTGCTGGCAAGTGGCAATGTGCACAGAAGTGTTGGGGCAGGGGCCGCTGGGCTCCCATGGTGTTTGTCGCCTTCACGGCTCTCTGCCCTGCCCCTCCCCTTGAGTATTCATGTTCCCGTGGATCAACCCCCCCCCCCCTTTTCTCTCTTGCTCCACATACTTTGCACGAGCATGTCAACCGCTCTCGGGCTACCGTCTCTTTGGCAATCAGAGTAGACATTTATTGCGTACCCATGATTTGCCAAGGTCCGCACCCCTCCGCCTGAGCTCCAGCTACCCCCTGGACATCCTGTTGGAGGTCCTGCAGTGGAATTGGAACCTCATTGTTTGCCTGCCTTGGCGTTACCTCATTCTCCATGAAAAGCATCACATCTGCTCAGCTGCCCAGGCGGGACACGTGGCCCCACCATGGTCAGAGCCCACAGAGCCCGTGCCTCAGGAGTCATCAGGTTTTCCACTTGTCCTCACCCCCAATGTTGCCATGGCAGACCCCCCCCCCATCCTTCTAGAGAGGGCCTCCTGACAGGTGTCCTTTCCTTGCTAAGACACTTAGGTCCCCACTTGCCTCAGCAGCATGGGCCAAGCCCACCTTCCACGGCCTGGTTTCTGGCATCCTCAAGACCTGTCTGCTCTTCCTTGGGACCTCCTTCCCCCCGACATCTGGTGACCAGCTGGCCTCAGGATCGCTGGGGACTGAAATCCACTCTCTCCCCCATCCCACTCAGTGGCCACCCCCTTGCAGGAACTCTGGCTCAGGAATTGTTTGGGATGCTGGAGAGCATGTAGATAAGAGCCATGGCCAGGGAACCCCGTGCCCTCAGACCCAGACGGGCCCCTCTGACCAGCCCAAGAGCGGGGAATGATATGATTTCAAGGTGGCTACTCTACCCTGCCAGCTTACAGCCATGATGAATCCTGGAGTCAGAGAGGCCTGGGTTTGAACCCAGATTGTACCACTATCTGGCTGTGTAGACTAGTTGCTTAGTCCCTCCGAACCTAAGTTTACTCCTCTGTAAAAGATGAGAATTTTCCGTTTGTTTGCTTCATTCACTAAACAGTACGTATTGGATGTCCCTAGGACATTTCCAGTGGAGGGAACAATCTTATAAAGGCAGAGATGTGGGAAGGACATGTTTGACAGGTTTGGAGAACAGAAAAGGTGAAGATCAGGACTCTTTGTTGTAAGTGATAGAAATTCCACCTCAAACCAGCTTAGGCAAAGACAAGGAATTCATTGGTTCATGTGATTGAAAGAACAAATGATGGGACGCTTCAGGCACGGCTGGATCCAGGGGCTCAAACAGTATCAGGCTCAAACTACCTCGTCAGGTTTTAGGAGGATGGGGGAAAGAACACATGTGAATGCTAGTGTCTGAGATCAGATTTCCTTAGAAGCAGACACCGAGGTGAGGATTCACGTTCAAGGCGTTTATAAAGGAAATGCCCCGGGGGAGAGTGGTAGGGAAACTGGGGTGAGGCAGGGCAGGGAAATCAATCTGGAGAGAGTAAGAAGCCTAAGTTACCCCAGCCAGGCGTTGGGGATGCTAGTGCCTGGTTCTCCATGGTTAAACTTACTTATTTTCTAAGCATCTCAGCCCCTGACGCCAACCTTACCTCTCAGCCTATCTGACAGAGCAGAGCTGGATACTGTTGGGAAGGGAGGCGGGGGTAGGGGGTGGAGTGGGGTGGAAGCCTGGCCTGGGGCCCACGAGGGCAAAGATGAGTGCAACCCATCCCCCCCCCCCCCGGGAGAGTAGGGGTGCTTCGGGAGAGGCACTGAGTCAGTAAGCAGCACGGTGGTGAGGGGCGGCCTCCTCAAGCCACCAAGGCCAACAGCAGCTGGAGGTGAAGGCTGCTGGGAGGGAGGCCAGGCCTCCGCGGGAGCTGCCGCCCTCCTGGCGAGGCTCAGCTCGCCCCACATCTCCTGCCTTCCTCCCTGCTGCCTCGGTGGGCCTCGGGCCAGAGAAGGGCCTCGGAGACTATGCGTGTGCGTGTGCCAAGCCAGGGGGTGTTTTAACAACATCCAGGCTGCCAGGAGCACATTATTCTCTTACAGAAATCCAAGGGATTGCCCAGGAGATGTGATATTTTTGTAGCCAAAGAAAAAAGGGGGGGGGGAGAAAAAAAGAATTTCTCCACAGCTCTCAAAGCCCGTTGTGCTAGGAATGATAGTGGGTGTTTCAGAATCTGGATTCTTTGTCAGGGAGCAGATAAGGACCGAGAATTTTCTGTTTGTTTGCTTCATTCACCAAATAGTACATATTGGATGTCCCTAGGACATTCCCAGTGGAAGGAACAATCTTATAAAGGCTGAGATGTAGGAAGGACATGTTTGACAGGTTTGGAGAACAGAAAAGGTGAAGATCAGGACTCTTTGTTGTAAGTGATAGAAATTCCACCTCAAACTAGCTTAGGCAAAGACAAGGAATTCATTGGTTCATGTGATTGAAAGAACAAATGATGGGACGCTTCAGGCACGGCTGGATCCAGGGGCTCAAACAACGTCATAGGACACAATCTTCCTCTATCTCAGCTTTGCCTTCCTTGGCATTGTCTCTGCTCTCAGGAAGGCCCTTGCCACTTGGTGACTCAGCCAGTTTCATCCTTCCACTCCCCCAGGCTCAAACCCAGTAGAAAGGAATTTTCTCCACCAATAGGTCCGGCAAAAGTCCAGCGGCTGACTCTCATTGAACTGACTTGGGTCATATGTCCATCTCTGACTGGCCAGGCTTTGTCCATAGCCCCTTCTCTAAAGTGGGGGCCTCGCTCACTGATTAGTGTGGTTTGGAAGGTAAATCACGTGAGGTGTTACATTTCCCACTGGCCACCCTTTTCCTCAGAAATTATATCTGCTCCCTCAATTGTATTTCTCCCTCTTGACTCTGTCTCCTGCCTCGACCTCCCTCAAGCACTCCTGGGCTCCATTTCCAGGGGATCATGGCGGGGACATGTTCCGCCCATACAACAATGATACTATCGCACAAATTGAGCCCTCACTAGATGCTAAGCACAAGGTCTTTTCATTGCTGTGCAAATGCATCCTCACAGCATGACAGTAGTATGAAATAGGCGTTATTTTTATCTTTGTTGTATAGGTAAAGAAACTGAGGCATAGAGAGGTTCACTCCTGAACCAATGACTAGAGTCATAGGGGTTATGAAGCTCTGACTGGCTACACAGGAGTCATGTGCCCAAACATGGAGCCAGCTGCAATTGAATTGCACAGACTGGGAGAAGAAAGGGACTCCCCAGTGAAAGGATTGTAGTCAGAAGGGAGGAATAAAGTGGGAAAAACAAGGAATGCCCCCTAAAGTAGGGGGCAAATGATGGCAGCCGAATTTTGGAAAAAACTGGGGGGCAGAGGGAGCTGTGGAGGCTCAGGGAATGTAAACATTTGAACAGCCAAACCACTGAAAGGATAGAGGGGCAGCCGGCGTTCAGGAAGAGCTGGAACCAGGCACTCACGCTGTCATAAGGCTCAGGTTCTCAGGGCGCCTGGCTGGCCCAATTGGAAGAGCTTGAAACCCACCACCTCCCGATTATGAGTTCAAGCCCACCAGTCTTTTTTTTTTTAATCATAGCAAGATGAAACAGGGCATCTGGTGAAACAATCAATCGAGCCACCGATTTGGGCTCAGGTCGATCTCATGGTTTTCTGGGTTTGAGCCCATCCGAGCTCTGTGCTTTGTCGCTCAGAGCCTGGGCCTGTTCCATTCTGTTGTCTCCACTCTCTTGTCTCTCTGTTCCCTGCCTGTTCAAACTGTCTGCTCTCAAGAAATGTAAATAAACATTAAAAATAAATAAGATTACTCAAATAAATGTATAAAAAAAAAAAGTTCACACCCGGTTGGCCCAAATACCCAATGGTATTTGAAGTTGCTTCAATGTGGGATTGGGACTTTGGTGTGGTCTGGGCCGCAGTCAAACCAATTAATGGCTCTGCCAAGTCAGACAGCTGGGAAGAACTGGTCCAGGGAAGGTTGAAGCTGTGGCCCGCGGAGTAGCAATTTCTAAAAAAAATAACAGATGGGGTACACAGGGCGATGAAATACACAGGGTCAATACAGCTGCGAATAACAGAGAACTTGGCCCGAAAGCAATAATGGGAAGCCCTCGGGATAATGGTCAACGTGGTGTCACTGCTCAGCAACTACAGTGGCATCCTAAAGTGCCCTCCCACCAGTGTCCCTGGCAGCCATCTACCCAGAGAGAGAGAAGGAAGTGTGACCGGGCAGGTTCCTCCCACCTCCCGTCTGAGCGAACCAACCCCTGGAAAGTGCCAAAATCACTACCTGATGGCGTCACCGGGTGAAAATTGGAGGTGGCCTCCACCAACAGGTTGGGCACCTGGCCGGGCCTGGTCTGGAGGACGGGCGATCGAGAGTCGGTTCCCTGTTTATTGTTATTGCCAGGCTGCCTTATTTGCCGTAGAAACCTTTGCGGGGTGGGGGGGCTGGTGATTGCCCCGCGTCACCACTGCTCAGCAACTACAGTGGCAGCTCATCTACGGGTACCCCAATAGGAAATTGTTTAATTTTACCAGGTGGAAGAGAAAGTGTTCCTCTCCGGGATCTAGGTTCCTCCTCTCCGCCTGAACGGGCTCCAGAGGTCGACGCTCCACACTGCCCACCAGTGAGCGTCACCGGGGTGGGGGAGGGGGCGGGCGCTGGCCTCCACCAACTTAGGTTTGGGCACCTGCGCCAGGCCTGGTGCGGAGGACGGGAGGCCGTGATCAGCTGTGTCACGGGGACCCACCCTGGAACCGCGGCCCTTGCTCCAACAATTCGGACCCCCGCCGCGGGGCGTGGCGTGGAAGGTACACGGGGCAGGGTCACCCTGCGGCGTCCCTCATCTCACGGCCGGTCTGCCTCTGTCGTGCAGGGGTCCTGTGGCTGTCGGTGGTGTCCGAGGTGCTGTACATCCTCCTGCTGGTGGTCGGCTTCAGCCTCATGTGTCTCGAGCTCTTCCACTCCAGCAATGTCATCGACGGGCTCAAGCTCAACGCCTTCGCAGCTGTCTTCACGGTGCTGTCCGGTAAGGCGGAGGGCCTCTGGCGGTGGGGCCTAACCCTGGACCTCCGGCAGAGCGGAACGTGGGTGCTGGAGCCGCCCCCGGGCCGAGTCCTGGCTGTTCCCACCGGGTGACCTTGCGCCCATCACTCCGCTGCTCTGAGCCTCCGCGTTACGGTTTTAAAACGGGATTTGCGCGCTCGCGTACTCATTCAGTGGTTGTTGAATATCGTGTGCCAGGTACCGTGCTAACAATAAGGACTGGGGCTTTCCTAACGGAGGGACCGTTCCAGAGCCCGTGGAGTTTAACAGGTGTGGGAGAGAGAGGTGGGTTAGCCTGACGTGTATTCAAGGGATGACCACCCCACGCCCTCGTGGCGGACTGTATTTGTGGGACAGGGCACAGGGAGGTGGTGTGTTGGCATGAGTGGATGATGTTGTCTTCCATAGAAACATAAAGGGGGGGCCCGTTTTGGGGTGGCCCGCACATCACTCATCTGCTTTGGCTTATTTGCCTTTGAGACAAACGTGTGGAAGCTGGAGGGGAGCAAACACATCTAGAAGCTCAGCTACTAGTGTGGGGTGGGCAGAGACGGTGCGTAAAGGCCACAGAGCCAGGGGTTTTGGGGGCTTTAGGGGGAACAGGACGGTCAGGACATTGTGACTCAGGGAGCCGGAGACAGAAGACTCCAAGAAAAGGCCATTGGATTAGGTGGCCCGGAGCCCAGAGTTGGTTCAGCAGATCCAGGTCACGAGGGGTTAAGCAGGGAATGTGCCAGAGAGGAGTAAAAGAAGCCTCCAAACCGTGACTTCAGGCGGCCTGACAGATAGAGTGGTGGCTTGGCTGTGCAAGACATCTGTTCCTAAAAAGCCAAGTGTGAATTGAATTTCCATAAATCTAATCCTATTCTTCATGCGTTGGAAGAAGCCTCTATTTAATGAAACCGAAACGAGGCGCCTTTTGGTAAGGGACGTAATCTCCCCCTAACTGAAGTATGTGTGTACAACAGAGGGGTCCCTCAAAGATTGAGAGCTGCATCCAAGAGATTACAGCACGCTCCGCAGGTGAAAACACGCGTGACTTGGCGTTCTCAGGATGTGGAAATCTGACCATCATAGCAGAAGAAAGAAAAGAGAAATAGAGTGATCGTCATCGCCAAGGGTCGGTTTTGGTTCCCAGCTCTTGGGCCGCGGACGATTCTGGACCCGTGTGTCCTGTTTGGGGGTGGAGTGGGGATGGGCGGGGTGGGGCATGAGACTTGGAAAAAAAACCGAAGAGTTTGCTTGACGGACAGCTTGGGGAAGACAGTGCAGATAGAGGGAACAGCATGGACAAGGGTGGCATATTCTGGAAACCTTGAGTAGTTCAGAATGACAGGAAGGCAGAGTAGGGAGAGCACAATTGACAGATGAAATCGGACAGCTGGGTGAGGGTCTCGGTGCTTTGCAGTGATCCTTAGATGTTACCATGTAGCTGACCGCGCTGAGAATCCAGAGCAGAGGGGGATAACGGTCAGGTTTGCATTTCGGGGTGAGGGTTCGGGCTGCGGCGTGGACAGAGCAGAGCAAGGGTGGAGGTGAGGAGACCGGCCCGGAGGTGAGAAAAGATGAGGCCCCACCCGGGTGCGGGGGCAGGGGGAACGCGGGACGCGGGCACACACACCCTCCAGCTAGGAGGCCAAGTCAGGAGAGCCGGGTGGGCCCGGAAGACAGAGAACCCAGGTCAGCTACCTGGTTTGGAATCCACACAGTCCGGGGGGTCCATGAGCCTGGTGGGGAAGAAGTTCCATCTGTAGTTCTCTAACTTGTAACGGACACTTAGGCTGTCCTTCAAATGTGAGTGGAGGCAACAGAACCCTGTAGGGGGCAGTAGCTATGACATAGTCACCAATAATCATCTATATTTTTCCTATCGCGCTGTCGTTGGGGCAGATACCCTGAAATGCTTTCGTTCAAAAGTGTGATAATGCCAGAGCTTCTGCTGCATCTTGTTAACCTCGCGCGTTAACGAAGAAGCACATATATTCCCATGCCACGAACTCGTTTGAATGTTTCGCTAACTAGATTTCCATATAAGGGGTTTGCTTTATAATCCCGCGTATTTTATTTTGTGTATCCGGAGACGCTATTCTCAGGAGGGACCTAGAGGTCCAGATGGCCAGAGCCCCTGATCTTGCGTCCCGTGGCCGGCATCTGGGCAGGGACGGGATGGTCCCGGACCCCCAAGATGGGAAGGTGGGAAAAGCAGGCAGTGGGGGTGATGGATCCGATCTGAGCAGGTGGAGTGTGATGTGCTGTGGGGTGTCCAGTCTCCTCTCTCTTGTTAGCGGCTTCACCTTTTCTTTCCTCTCCCCACTGCAAGCATCGAAGAGTCCCCTTGTCCCGGGCACCCAGCCCTCCCCCTCAACTTGCTCATTCCAGTCACAGAACAAAAGCCAGTGGGCGGCCCAAGGCAACCATCCCCAAGTCTTCAAGCAGACCTCTCTTGGGGTAGGAGGTGGGGGCTCCTTCCCCTGCCTCAAAGGGCTCATCAAAGCTTTCACCCCTCAAAAAGCCTGCCCCCAGGGGCCCACTGCTGAAGAAAATAAGATTGTCTTCAGTAATTTCAGACACATAAACAATACAGGGCTCAGGGAGGTTAATTGACTTGCCCAGGGTCACACAGCTGGTCAGTTACGGAGCCAGGATTAAACCCAGCTCCTGCTGGCTTCAAAGCCCCGTGCTCTTTTCATAGGATCCGAGCTGCAGGGGTGACCGGGCTGGAGGGAGAAGACTTTTAAGTCTTCAGAAAACAGTAACTAAGAAGCATGTGTGAGCCAGCTGACGTCATGAGACAGAAGTAGCGAGTGGTGGAGAGAAAGGATTTTATATTCACACCTGGGAGAAGATAAGTTGGGGGGGGGTGCAAAAGGACACTAAGAGAGGCTTGCGTGGCCCTGGAGCCCCTGGCCTTTCCGGAGCCCCCTGAGAACAGGGTAAGGGGTGGGGAGGGGCCCGGAGGAGGGGGGTGGCCTTCGGGTTTGCTCTGATGGGAGGGAAAAGAGTGTGCAAGCCCCGTGACCAAGTCCTCTGATGCTGCCAGCCCAGCTTATGCCGAGGGGTCTTCAGCCCAAGGTCAACACCTTCTATGGTAGACGGGAAAGCAGAATTGGGGCAGCCCCTACTGTACCCAATTATTATGATCAGTTATTATAATGAACCAAGTGATTATGATTCATGGTAACAGCCAGTGCCGGCCGAGGTGCCACCGTGCACTGGCACGGGGTTCAGCCTGCCACACGTGTTAGCGTCTTTACCCCTCACGGTGCCCTTGCAGGGGAGGGTCTGACCCTGCATGTGTTCCGCAGATGGGAATGCCGACTTGCCTGCAGTCACGTAGCTGCTAGGCTGTTGGACCCCCAGCTGAGCCTGCCCTATAAAGTGCTTTGAGTAGGGCTTAGCACCTGGGACTCTTGTCGTTATGATTAGCCCCCACTGTTTTCCAATAAGCTGAGGGGCAGATCATGGCCCCAGGGACCAGCCCCGCCACAGCCACAGCGAGGCCCAGGGGTTCATGCTCTTCAGCGAAGGGAGGAGCTGGTGACAGGTTCCGGCCAGCGAGGCTGTGTTCCTGGCACAAGGTGGTTGTACAGACAGGGACGGCCCCTGAGGCCTGGGTGTGGGGGCTGTGGTTGCTGGCCCACTGGCCCAGGGCCTAGGGCTCACAGTACTTTTAGGGCCCCACGAAATGTTTTAATTTTGACTACTTTTCAAATTGGGAGAAAAAAAAAATTAATGTAATAATAATGAAATTGTAAGAGTGAATCCAGACCGGATCATAATTGTTCTCCTACTGTTGCAGTCATAACATACAAGTTTTACCATTTCTTTAAAAAAAAAAGTTTTTTTTTAATGTTTATTCTTGAGAGAGAAAGAGACACAGAATGTGAGCAGGGGAGGGGCAGAGAGAGAGGGAGACACAGAATCCGAAGCAGGCTCCGGGCTCCGAGCTGTCAGCACAGAGCCCAATGTGGGCCTCGAACCTGCGAATCGTGAGATCAGACCTGAGCTGAAGCCGGGTGCTCAACCGACTGAGCCACGCAGGTGCCCCTACCATTTCCTTTATGGAGGAGACAAAAGTGCTTGGGGCCCCTGCACGTCTTGATGTGACCCTGCAGTGGGTCACAGCTTTTCTCGGGCTCTCGGGACTGAGCAAGACCGATTCCAGCACAGGGGGGTGACTCCAGCTAGCAGCGTCCCCTTGCCCAGTCCTGCGACTTCAGCCAAGAGGTGCTGGGAAAGACAGAACTCCCTGTTTCTTTCCCCAGTGACCAGAGTCTTACACACCCGAAGGGGTGTGCGAGCAGGCTGGAAGATGTCCGTTTTTCCCCAGTCCCTCTGAAAAATGAGACAGATCCACTTGGGAAAAACACAAAGTCATTTGGAGAGTCCCTGCACAGTCGAGCTAACTGTGGGCTTTTAGTAAAAACTGCGGTGGCACAGAAAGAAACGTGACCAATTCTGGGAAATAATCAGAGCTCGTGCAGAAGCCAGAAGGGGCATTTTGTTAAGTAAGAAGGGAAGGAGATTTTGCAATAAAACAAACAAATGGCCAAGGTGAGGTTGCTGTTTGGAATTGGGTTTCAGGAGCCATTTTCAGAGCGAGGTATGAATTGAAGAGGGAGCAGCTGCACGGCCTGCAAGGTGGAAATTGCAGACAGAGGCTTAGGGACCTTAGAGCTTCTCTTAGTGGGTGATTTGTAACTTCTTACCATAAAGCATCACTTATTATTTTAGGATGAGTTTCTTGATAATTCTTGGGTCTGTGCTAAAACAGAATCCCACATTAATAACCCCCTTTCTTCAGTCTCCCTGCTCTGGTCAGACCGGGTCTTTTGTCCCTAACCTAGAAGCAAGTACTTTTGTGTATTTTTGCATCTAACAATACAGAGAGTCGAAGTCAGAGAAAAGAGTTTTTCCATATTATGAAGGATCCTTTTGCTTGCAAGTGACAAGAACCCAATCGTATTAGCTACCAGAGAAAAG